AATGCCCGTGACTTCGGTCTTGTAGATGCCTTCCTCTCCCACTACATTGTAAAGTGCTGTGACTTTCGTGTCTGTAGATGCTTCCTCTCCCCCTACATTGTTAAATGCTTGACTTCGGTCGTAGATGCCTTCCTCTCCCACTACATTGTTAAATGCTGTGACTTCTGTCTGTGGATGCCCCTTTCCCCTCCACTACATTGTTAAATGCTGTGACTTCGTGTTGTAGATGCTTCCTCTCCCAACATTGTTAATGCTGTGACTTCGTGTCTGTAGATGCCTTCCTCTCCCACTACATTGTTAAATGCTGTGACTTCGTGTCTGTAGATGCCTTCCTCTCCCACTACATTGTTAAAATGCTGTGACTTCGTGTCTGTAGATGCCTTCCTCTCCCACTACATTGTAAATGCTGTGACTTCGTGTCTGTAGATGCCTTCCTCTCCCACTACATTGTTAAATGCTGTGACTTCGTGTCTGTAGATGCCTTCCTTCTCCACTACATTGTTAAATGCTGTGACTTCGTGTCTGTAGATGCCTTCCTCTCCCACTACATTGTTAAATGCTGTGACTTCGTGTCTGTAGATGCCTTCCTCTCCCACTACATTGTTAAATGCTGTGACTTCGTGTCTGTAGATGCCTTCCTCTCCCACTACACTGTTAAATGCTCCAAACTTCACAACTCCCGTGACTTAACCTGATTCACATTTCTTCTCCCTCTTCCCCTTTCTTCTTTCTCCTTTGGGTTGTCTTTCTTCTGCCTTAGGTATTTGTTCATTATTTATTTCGTCCCCTTCCCTCTGTGTTCTTGCTCCTACCCTCTGTGGGCTCCTAGCTCCCTTGTGGGCCCCTAGCTCCCTTGTGGGCCCCTAGCTCCCTTGCAGGCCCGTAGCTCCTCTTAGTATCTGACTGGCTCCACCACTACCATTACTGCCTCCATCACTAGCACCATCTACCTCTACTATCACTACCACCTCCTGACCTATATAAACTCCCTCCTCCTCTCCTTCTGGTCAGTCTGACTTTGTAAATGGTCCAAGTCGGACCGAAACGTCGTGGTAAGCTCCTCTCTTCTACGTGCGAGTTATTTGTGCATTGTTCCAGCTACGGTATTGTACCTTTCTGTTATTTAGTAGTAGTAATAGTAATACTATTATTATTATTACAGTTATATTGTTACTATTATTATTATTACTGTTATTATTGTTGCTATTATTATTATTTATAATACTATCTTCTTTTCCTCAACTTTTCCCACTCCTCTCTTCCCTATCTTCTTCTAAGTTTAAAGAGAAGGCTTAGGAAAGGAATAGAAAACTGATGGATGTAATTTAAAGAAAGATGGAAGAGGCAAGGGAGAGAGTAAGATAGATGGCTAAAGCTGGGAGGAGGCATCTAGTGATGAACTAGAAATAGGGAAAGAGGAGAATTTAGAAAGGTATGTGATGTCATGACAGAGAGAGTAGCAGAGGAGGACCTTGATGCTATGGCACTCACAGAGACGAAACTGCTAGGAATATCAAGTGCGATATTCCCAGAAATACCAAATGTGATATCCCTAGAAATACCAAATGCGATATTCCCAGAAATACCAAATGTGATATCCTCAGAAATACCAAATGCGATATTCCCAGAAATACCAAATGGGTTATCCCTAGAAATACCAAATGTGATATCTCCAGAAATACCAAATGTGATATTCCCAGAAATACCAAATGTGATATCCCCAGAAATACCAAATGTGATATGCCCAGAAATACCAAATGGGATATCCCTAGAAATACCAAATGTGATATCCCCAGAAATACCAAATGTGATATCCCTAGAAATATCAAATGTGATATCCCCAGAAATACCTAATGGGATATCCCTAGAAATACCAAATGTGATATCCTCACAAATACCAAATGCTATATCCTCAGAAATACCAAATGTGATATCTCCAGAAATACCAAATGGGATATCCCTAGAGATACCAAATGGGATATCCCCAGAAATATCAAATAGGATATTTCCAGAAGGTTACCACATAATAAGAAGAGAAATGGAAGACCTTGAAAGAGCAATACTGATGATCAGACATCAGGATACCTGGAAGTAGGTGACTTCATTGCTTATGTACCAGACACTGTAATGACCTGAGATAACATGTGTTCTAATGACATGAAATATGTAGACATGAAATATGTAGGTGACAGTTGAGGTGATCTGTTGTCTACCATAATGGAAGTCTAGGTTAGTATTGTCATGTCCTGCCTGTGCAGTGGAGTATACCTGAAGGGGTTTTCGGGGGGTCAGCGCCCCCGTGGCCCGGTCTGAGACCAGGCCTGGTATGTTGGTGTATCAGACACTTGTGGAACAATTGGCTATCTTAATTGTGGAAATGTGTTGTCAGCCAGTAGCTTCTTCAGTCTAATACTGAGAAGAATGGTTGAAAATCAGAAGATTAGGTAAACAGTCCCTGAGAATGGTAGTCGATTTAATCTCACACACACACACACCAACCCCACACACCACAACCACACAAAACACACACCACACCACACCGTCAACACACAACACACACATATACACGAGCACACACAACTATAAGACACCACAACATCACACACACAACACACACCACGACACAACACAAACACGACACACAACTCACACACACACACACACCACACAGAAACTACACACCACTGAAACACACACGGACCACACTAACATCCCAACAGTACAACACACACGCACCAACAATACACACGCACACACCACTATGCTAGGTCACCGTGTTAAAGAGAGAAATGCCCTGCTGTGTGTGTGTGTGTGTGTGTGCTGTGTGTGTGTGTGGTCAAACAGGAACTTATAAGACCCTCACAACAGTCACAGCTGACTAGCAACCACACACTAGGGAAATGTTAGCGAGGAAGTACGACCAGCTCAGCATAGGTACAACAGTTTTACCATGTTCGTAGACTGTTTCAAACGCAGTGGATTCGGCAGGAGATAGGGTTTGACATTCCTCCAACAGTTATAACTAGACTGGGCCAGGAGCTGAGACTCGACCCCAGCAACGGTGAGTACACACACACACACACACACGCACACACACACACACACACACACACACACACACACACACACACACACACACAGGTTATAGAAATCTGTGTACAATGACTTAGCTAAGACTGCCAGGGTTAGCCTCTAGCTCCGGGGACCCTTCTTTTATTTTTTGCCTTCTCTGTCTTCCTCTCACTGATGTGTTGAGATAGTGGTTGATGGTGGTAGTTGTGGTTGATGGTGGTAGTTGTGGTTGATGGCGGTAGTTGTGGTTGATGGGGTAGTTGTGGTTGATGGGGTAGTTGTGGGTTTTGGGGTAGTTGTTGATGGTGTAGTTGTGGTTTTATGGTGGTAGTGTGGTTGATGGCGGTGTTGTGGTTGATGGGGATGTTGTGGTTGATGGTGGTTTTTTGTGGTTGATGGGGGTGTTTGTGGTTGATGGTGATATTGTGGTTTTTGGGGTAGTTGTGGTTTTATTTCGGTGTTGTGGTTGAGGGTGGTAGTGGGGGTTGGGGTTGGTAGTGGGGGGTTGAGGGTTTGGGTAGGGGGTGTTTGATGGTGGTTTGTGGTGGTTGATGGGGGTTTTAGTGGGGGTTTGGGATGGTGGTTTAGTGGGGGTTTGATGGGGGTTTTAAGTGGGGGGTGATGGTGGTAGTTGTGGGTGATGGCGGTAGTTGTGGGTGATGGGGGTTAGTTGTGGGTGATGGGGTTTATTTGTGGGTGATGGTGGTAGGGGGTGGTTGATGGTGGTATTTGGGGGGTTGATGGGGTAAAAGTGGTTGATGGCGGTAGTTGTGGGTGTTGGGGGTTTAGTGGTGGTTGATGGCGGTAGTTGGGGGTTTGTTGGGGGTTTGTGGGGGTTTTAAGGGCCCGGTAGTTGTGGGTGTTGGCGGTATTTTAGGGGTTTGGATGGCGGTGGGTTTTTGGGGTGATGTTTTTATTTGGGGGTTTGTGGGGGGTTGGGGTGGTTGATGGTGGTAGTGGTGGTTGATGGTGGTAGTGGTGGTTGATGGTGGTAGTGGTGGTTTGATGTGGTAGGGTGTTTGAGGGTGGTAGTGGTGGTTGTGGGGGTTAGTGGTGGTTGATGGGGGGTTGTTGTGGGGTTGAGGGTGGAAAGTGGTGGTTGTTTGGTGGAAAGTTGGGTGATGGCGGTAGTTGTGGGGTGATGGGGGTTTTTTGGGGTGGCGGTATTTTGTGGGTGAGGTGGTGGGGGTGGTTGATGGTGGTGTTGTGGGTGAGGGGGGGGGCAGTGGGGTTTTGATGGGGGGTTAGTTGTGGGTGATGGCGGTATTGGTGGTTGATGGCGGTGTTTTGGGTGATGGTGGAAAGTGGGGGTTTTAATGGCGGTAGTTTTGGGGGGTGAGGCGGTAGTAGTGGTTGATGGCGGTAGTTGTGGGTGGGGCGGTAGTTGTGGGTGATGGTGGTAGTGGTGGGGGGTTTGGCGGTGTTGGGGGTTTGTGGGGGGAGTGGTGGTTAATGGCGGTAGTTTGTGGGTGATGGCGGTTAGAAAGTGGTTGATGGCGGGTTGGGGGTGATGGCGGAAAGTTGTGGGGATGGGGGGAAGTGGTGGTTGAGGGGGTTTTAGTTGGGGGTTGAGGGTGGTAGTGGGGGTTTGAGGGGTGAAAGATGCAAGTAGAGAGAAAAACCGGGGGGTGGGGGAGGGGAAGGGTTGGGGTGGGGGAGGGAAAAGGGAAAGGGTGGGGGAGAGGAAGGGGAAGGGGGGGGGGAGGGTTGGGGGTGGGGGGGAGGGGTGGTGGGCAAGGCCGTTTTCCTGTTTTCAAAAAGGTTTTTAAAGGTCCAACCCTTTTGCGTTGAAGAGACTAACCCCTGTCCAAATTTTTGGGGGCCCCAACGTATTTTTGGTTTTTCCTTTTTATCCAGGAGAGAGAAGAGAGAGAGGAGAGAGAGTTTGAAAAAGATAGATAGAGAGAGAGGAGAGAGGAGAGGGGGAGAGGGGAGGGAAGGGGGGAGAGAAGGGGAGAGTGAGAGAGCGAAGACAGGCAGAGAGAGCGCAGGGCAGGGGGACAGACAGAGAGAGAGAGGAAAAGAGAGAGAGGAGAGAGAGAGAGGGGAGAACCCGGGGAGAGGAGACAGAGAGAGAGAGACAGAGAGAGAGGATAGAAAAGAGAGAGAGAGAGAGAGGAGAGATAGAGAGAGAGAGAGAGAGAGGGGGAAGGGGTTAGAGAGAGAGGGAGGGGAGAGAGAGGGGGGAGAGGAGAGACAGACAGACAGACAGACGACAAAAGAAAAGAGAGAGAGAGAGAGGGGAGAGACAGACAGACAGCAGGGCAGAAGACAGACAGACAGCAGAGAGGGAGAGAGAGAGAGAGGAGAGGAGGGAGAGAGACAGACAGAGAGAGAGAGGAGAGAGAGACAGACAGACAGACGAAGAGAGAGGGGAAAAAGAGAGGGGAGAGAGAGACAGCCCGGAGAGGGGAGAGAGGGGAGAGAGAGACGGAGAGAAGGGGGGAGAGGGAGGGGAGAAGAGGAGAAGGGGGAGAGGAAAAGAGAGAGAGGGGAGAGAGACGAAAAGACAGAGAGAGGAGAGGGGAGACAGACAGACAGACAGAGGAGAGGAGAGAGGAGAGAGAGGGAGAAAAGGGAAAGAGAGGAGAGAGAGGGGTGAGAGAGAGAGAGAGGGGGGGCCCGAAAACAGGAAGAAGAAGAAAGAAGAGAGAGAAAGGGGAGGGTTTAAGAGAGAGGAGAGGAGAGGGGAGAAGGAGAGAGAGAGGAGGAGAGAGACGGAAAATAGAGGGAGAGGAGAGAGTAGAGACAGACAGAGAGAGAGAGAGGAGGGAGAGAGAGAGAGACAAGAGAGAGAGAGAGAGGAGAGAGCAGAGAGACGTGAGATGAGAGAGGAGAGAGGAGAGAGATGAGAGAGAAGAGAAGAGAGACAGAGAGAGAGGGAGAGAGAGAGAGGAGAGGAGAGAGAGAGAGAGAGAGAGAGAGAGTGAGGGGGAGGAGAAGAGAGTGAGAGATGAGAGAGTGAGAGAGGAGAGAGTGAGAGAGAGAGAGTGAGAGAGTGGAGAGAGTGAGAGAGTGAGGGGAGTGAGAGAGAGAGAGGAGAGTGAGAGTGAGAGTGAGAGAGGAGTGGAGAGGAGTGAGAGGACGAGAGAGTGAGAGAGAGAGAGAGAGTGAGAGGAGAGAGAGAGAGAGAGCAGGAGAGAGAGAGAGAGAGGCAAGACGTCAATAACCAACAGGAGGAACATAAAATATAGAGACATCGTGTGGGAGGTTGTGAAGCCTCACCAGTAAACAGTGAGTGAGAGATAACTCAATAAAGACAGCCATAGAGAGAATAGTAAAGGCGGAATAGAAGGGGTGAAGAGGGGAATAAAGGAAGCAATAAAATCCTCAAAGGATAACAAGAATTAGAAAGGAACGAATGATAGGTTTTGGCCTTTCGTGTTGCATTCAACCCATCATCAGGAGCTTGCAATGCTGCAGAAACAGTAGAAAATCCTGGTAGATTCCTTCGTGGACATCTCTCTCTCTCTCTCTCTAGATAGATAGATAGATAGATAGATAGATAGATAGATAGATAGATAGATAAATAGATAGATATATAGATATGTATGTATATATACATGTATATTATATTTTAATTTTTTTGATTACAGGTACTAAGGTGTACTCGCCCCCTGAGTGGATACTTCACAATCAGTACCAAGGTGTCCCAGCAACTGTCTGGTCCCTGGGCATCCTGCTCTACGACCTGGTCTTCGGAGATATACCCTTTGAGTACGAGGAACAAATCGTTTCTGCTAGATTACAGTTCCGTCTTCCGGTCTCCGAGGAATGTCAGTCTTTGATCCGTTGGTGTTTGCGGCTCCGGCCGAGCGATCGTCCCTTTCTGGAACAGATCCTACAGCATCCTTGGTTTATCTTGCGATCCAAGGATACCTTAACTAGATCCATCTCCACTAGGAGTGCTCCTGCAGCCACTCCTTCATCCCTGGCTGCTGTGACTTCACCTGTCGGTTCCCTGGGTTCCGTTGGTTCGTCTCATAGTTCCGGTTCACTACCACCTACTCCTCGACCGCAGGAAAGACTTGACTTCAGTTCGACTTCGTCACAAGGAAGTCACGCAACTACATTGTGACGTCAGAGGCGCATAACCGCCACCATGTAATTTATATTCATGCCCTAAAAGGGCATCATACCCCAGCACCAAAGCCTTGTTGTTACGTTGTAGTGAGTCATAATGTATATAGCTCCATTATCACCGTAATCATTGTTCCGATTTTTTTTCGTAACTTGGCTACCCGTCGTAGCCTGTCGGTCTAAATAGACAACATTCTAATTAATTTTCTAATTGTATTTAGGCTGTGTCCTGTGGCGGAAATCCTCTTACGAGGCTTCTCAAGGGGCATGTCCATTGTAACAGTGAATTAAACTGTGACACTAGTATACAAGGGCCTTGTAACGACAGTATTGGTGATTAGATGTAGGTTATTCTGTGACTTGTAATACCTGGACTGCGGGGGTCAACGCCCCAGGGGCCCGGTCTGTGACCAGGCTTCCAGGTTTCCCACAAGCCATGACCCTTTTAAGCGAAGCCAACTCTTGTGACATTATGTACAAGGAGACTAGAGGCGAGTGTTGAGTTTCTGTCTCTCTTTAGAAGGGAGAAGAGTGGGTGGAAATGTCTTAGATACAGTGGTGGTCTTGACGGGTTGCTTGCACGTTTCCACCCTGGACAGGGTGGAAACTGCCGAAATGTTGCACTCCGTTGCATGTTTTATCTTCACGCTCTGTGTAGAGTTTCACAGCTTGTTTAAGCTCTGGATTTTGCTCTCTGTGATCCACAGGTGACTGGTCACTGTCTCTCTCTGTCTCTCTCTATACCTCTGTCTCTGTCTGTCTGTCTCTCTCTCTCTCTCTCTCTCTAAAGTACTATCCTTGCCTCAGACACCTAGATAGTACAGGATAGTTCTTAAATTTAAGTAGTAGTTGTCGTAGATAGTCTTGAACCAAACTATCAAGTCCTCTTCTGTGTGTCGCTTCCCAGTACTACCAAGTACAGTGGACCCCCGCATAACGATCACCTCCGAATGCGACTAATTATGTAAGTGTATTTATGTAAGTGCGTTTGTACGTGTATGTTTGGGGGTCTGAAATGGACTAATCTACTTCACAATATTCCTTATGGGAACAAATTCGGTCAGTACTGGCACCTGAACATACTTCTGGAGTGAAAAAATATCGTTAACCGGGGGTCCACTGTACTTGTAAGTACTCCCAAGTACTCCCAAGTACTCTCGAGTACATGTATTTCTCTGCCTTCTTACAATCCCAGCCTCTTAACGTCCCTTAAATCCCTATCCCCTTAAATCCCTATCCCCTTAAATCCCTATCCCCTTAAATCCCTTTCCCCTTAAATCCCTTTCTCTTTAAATCCCTTTCCCCTTAAATCCCTTTCCCCTTAAATCCCTTTTCCCTTAAATCACTTTCTCCTTAAATTCCTTTCCCCTTAAATCCCTTCCTCCTTAAATCCCTTTCTCCTTAAATCCATTTCCCCTTAAATCCCTTTCCCCTTAAATCCCTTTCTCCTTAAATCCCTTTCCCCTTAAATCCCTTTCCCCTTAAATCCCTTTCTCCTTAAATCCCTTTCCCCTTAAATCCCTATCCCCTTAAATCCCTTTCTTCTTAAATCCCTTTCCCCTTAAACCCCTTTCCCCTTAAATCCGTTTTCCCTTAAGTCCCTTTCCCTTTAACTCCTTTTTTTCATTCTAGGGGGCTTTGACCCCCTTTCTTTCGTCCTAGGGGGTACTGACCCTCTTTCTTTCATCCTAGGGGGGCTTTGATCCCCTTTTTTTCGTCCTAGGGGCACTGACCCCTTTTTTAGGCGCCCCCTTGGGCCTTCTCCCAGACCATAATGAACCAGGGGGCACAGACCCCCCCGTCCAGCATCATCTGATTTAGCCTCTTCACTTCTCCCCACCCCCAAAGGGCGCTGTATGACAACCCTCTTTACGGGTTTAGCGTTTCCCAGCTACTGTATAAAATACGTCAAGACGCCCTGTTGTAGTAAGATTGTATTTTTTAACCTTGATTTATAAGTTATTGTATATATATATATATATATATATATATATATATATATATATATATAAATTACACAAAGTTTAATTTGTTCTCAAAATGAGACATTGCGTTTCCCTAAGAGTTTAGCGCTTCCCTGTATGACGATAGCAGCTCCACTTCCTGGGATGAAGAGCCCTGCCATAGTCTTCTCGTCATACTGAGTCGCTCTCTAGCCTCGCTGAATAATTTTAATAATTTCAAAACACGATTTTAATGTAATTAGGTCCTAAAGTAATTAGGTCCTAAAGTAATTAGGTCCTAACGAAATTAGGTCCTAAAGTAATTAGGTCCTAAAGTAATTAGGTCCTAACGAAATTAGGTCCTAGTGTAATTAGGTCCTAGTGTAATCAGGTCCTAATGTAATTAGGTTCTAGTGTAATTAGGTCCTAGTGTAATCAGGTCCTAGTGTAATTAGGTCTAGTGTAATTAGGTCCTAGTGTTATCAGGTCCTAATGCAATTAGGTCCCAGTATAATTATGTCCTAATGTAATTAGGCCACTATGTTATTAGGTCATAATGTAATTAGGTCCTAGTGTAATTAGGTCCTAGTGTAATTAGGTCCTAGTGTAATCAGGTCCTAGTGTAATTAGGTCTAGTGTAATTAGGTCCTAGTGTTATCAGGTCCTAATGCAATTAGGTCCCAGTATAATTATGTCCTAATGTAATTAGGCCATTATCTTATTAGGCCCTAATGTAATTAGGTCCCAGTGTAATTAGATCCTAATATAATTAGGACCTAATGTAATTAGGTCCTAGTGTATTTAGGTCCCCGTTTAATCAGGTCCTAATGTAATTAGGTGCTTCAGATTTTTGGGATCATCGTGTCCAATTTTTGCTCCAGATTTCGAAAAAAAATCCACTGAAAACAGCATATATATATATAATATATATATATATATATATATATATATATATATATATATATATATATATATATATAATATATATATATATATATATATATATATATATATATATAATATATATATATATATATATATATATATATATATATATATATATATATATATATATATATATATATATATATATATATATACACTTTCTTTTAGGGCTTACAACTGTGGCAGACACAGTCTGGTTGATCACACTGCCTCTATGACTCCTAGGACCAAGAGCATTTCTACACTGTGGTGTTTTGTTTGTCAGGAAACGAGTGTTTAGTCAGGCTATTGTTGGGGAAGCTTTTGGTCACTTGATCGGGACCTTCCACTGGCTTACCTCAACACTTAAAATTATTGTCTAAGTTGGTATTTAATACTCAGGAGGAGATGCACAAGTCTTTATATAACGACCACCCGTATATAACACCTCTCGACTCGTCTGTATTATAGGTAACGACCCACAAGGGTTGAAATTACGAGAGGAGAATAGACCTAACAGCAGAAATATTGTAACACTCTTGTAACACTCTTGTAACACTCACTTGTAACACTCACTTGTAACACTCACTTGTAACACTCTTGTAACACTCTTGTAACACTCACTTGTAACACTCACTTGTAACACTCACTTGTAACACTCACTTGTAACACTCACTTGTAACACTCACTTGTAACACTCTTGTAACACTCTTGTAACACTCACTTGTAACACTCACTTGTAACACTCACTTGTAACACTCACTTGTAACACTCACTTGTAACACTCACTTGTAACACTCACTTGTAACACTCACTTGTAACACTCTTGTAACACTCTTGTAACACTCACTTGTAACACTCACTTGTAACACTCACTTGTAACACTCACTTGTAAACACTCACTTGTAACACTCACTTGTAACACTCACTTGTAACACTCACTTGTAACACTCACTTGTAACACTCACTTGTAACACTCACTTGTAACACTCACTTGTAACACTCACTTGTAACACTCACTTGTAACACTCACTTGTAACACTCACTTGTAACACTCACTTGTAACACTCACTTGTAACACTCACTTGTAACACTCACTTGTAACACTCACTTGTAACACTCACTTGTAACACTCTTGTAACACTCTTGTAACACTCACTTGTAACACTCACTTGTAACACTCACTTGTAACACTCTTGTAACACTCTTGTAACACTCACTTGTAACACTCACTTGTAACACTCACTTGTAACACTCACTTGTAACACTCACTTGTAACACTCTTGTAACACTCTTGTAACACTCACTTGTAACAGTCACTTGTAACACTCACTTGTAACACTCACTTGTAACACTCACTTGTAACACTCACTTGTAACACTCACTTGTAACACTCACTTGTAACACTCACTCGTAACACTCACTTGTAACATTCACTTGTAACACTCACTTGTAACATTCACTTGTAACACTCACTTGTAACACTCTTGTAACACTCACTTGTAACATTCACTTGTAACACTCACTTGTAACATTCACTTGTAACACTCACTTGTAACACTCTAGTAACACTCACTTGTAACACTCACTTGTAACACTCACTTGTAACACTCACTTGTAACACTCACTTATAACACTCACTTGTAACAGTCACTTGTAACACTCACTTGTAACACTCACTTGTAACACTCACTTGTTACACTCACTTGTAACACTCACTTGTAACACTCACTTGTTACACTCACTTGTAACACTCACTTGTAACACTCACTTGTTACACTCACTTGTAACACTCACTTGTTACACTCACTTGTAACACTCACTTGTAACACTCACTTGTAACACTCACTTGTTACATTCACTTGTAACACTCACTTGTAACACTCACTTGTAACACTCACTTATAACACTCACTTGTAACAGTCACTTGTAACACTCACTTGTAACACTCACTTGTAACACTCACTTGTAACACTCACTTGTAACACTCACTTGTAACACTCACTTGTAACACTCACTTGTAACACTCACTTGTTACACTCACTTGTAACACTCACTTATAACACCCACTTATACAACCACTTATAACACCCACTTATAACACCCACTTATACAACCACTTATAACACCCACCTATAACACCCACTTATACAACCACTTATAACACCCACTTATAACACCCACTTATACAACCACTTATACAACCACTTATAACACCCACTTATACTACCACTTATAACAACCACTTATACAACCACTTATAACACCCACTTATACAACCACTTATACAACCACTTATAACACCCACTTATACAACCACTTATACAACCACTTATAACACCCACTTATACAACCACTTATAACAACCACTTATACAACCACTTATAACACCCACTTATACAACCACTTATAACACCCACTTATACAACCACTTATACAACCACTTATAACACCCACTTATACAACCACTTATAACAACCACTTATACAACCACTTATAACACCCACTTATACAACCACTTTATAACACCCACTTATACAACCACTTATAACACCCACTTATACAACCACTTATACAACCACTTATAACACCCACTTATACAACCACTTATAACAACCACTTATACAACCACTTATAACACCCACTTATACAACCACTTATAACACCCACTTATACAACCACTTATAACAACCACTTATACAACCACTTATAACACCCACTTATACAACCACTTATAACACCCACTTATACAACCACTTATAACACCCACTTATACAACCACTTATACAACCACTTATAACACCCACTTATACAACCACTTATAACAACCACTTATACAACCACTTATAACACCCACTTATACAACCATTTATAACACCCACTTATACAACCACTTATAACACCCACTTATACAACCACTTATACAACCACTTATAACACCCACTTACACAACCACTTATAACAACCACTTATACAACCACTTATAACACCCACTTATACAACCACTTATAACACCCACTTATACAACCACTTATAACACCCACTTATACAACCACTTATAACAACCACTTATACAACCACTTATAACACCCACTTATACAACCACTTATAACACCCACTTATACAACCACTTATAACACCCACTTATAACTCCATCCTACTAATGTCTTGCTGGCTTAGACAAATTGATCTAAATCTGTCCCAAGACTAACTTACACACACACACACACACACACACACACACACACACACACACACACACACACACACACACACACACACACACACACACACACACACACACACACACACACACACACACGCGCGCACACACGCGGGGCCAGGAGCTAGGACTCGACCCCTGCAACCACAAATAGGTGAGTACACACACACACACACACACACACACACACACACACACACATGAAATGAGTATTTGTCAATCTGTATACACAAAGATGTGTATTTCTCAACGTATATACACTGAGATATATATATATATATATATATATATATATATATATATATATATATATATATATATATATATATATATATTTATATATACATTTATATATACACCATAAGTATGATTTAAGGTATTAAAGTATTCTTGACTGGTGGTGGTGTACAGGTGACCTGCAGCCTTAATGACCCTCGTGTAGTAGATAGACTTCAAACTCCATTAACCAGCATTGCTTACGCTTGATATGAATATTTATATTATTTAATGTGAGATATATAAATATATATATGTATATATGTATATATATATATATATATATATATATATATATATATATATATATATATATTATATATATATATATATATATATATATTAAGTCTAATTTATTTTTAAAGATAGTGAGAGAGTTTTATACGTGATGGTGTATTTTGAGAGGCACAGAGAGAGAGAAAGTGAGATATCTTTTTCATAGGTTTTTTTAATGTGATTTTTTTTAATTTTAGAGATAGTTCTGGAGTGTGAGTGGAAGACAGTATTACAGTGACCTGCTCAGGGACTCTCACCTCTATGTCCATAGTCACTAAGGCTCAGTTTCTCTCTAAATTATCTCCACTTAGATCCATTATGCAGTACTGAATAATAATGATAATAATAATAATAATAATAATAATAATAATAATAATAATAATAATAATAACTGAGCAGGTCACTTCCGGTGGCAGTAGCAAGCTCCTCTCCTGTCATGTGGCGCTAAATTCCCTACGGTTTTAGCGCTTACCCTTGAATCTATCCTACCTGGAGCCTTGCCTCACTACCGATGATAGATGTATCTATCGCCCCAGATCTATTGATCTATTGTGATTACCATATATGTTATTTTTGGGGAGGAAAAGAGAGTTTTATTTGTCAGGAAAATATTTTTGTAAGAAAAATCAATGTAAAAACCGGAATAAATTGATTAAAACTATGTAACTGTATCTCTTATTATCCAGGGAATTAAATCAGGGGTGTTACATGGCCCCTGGTTGTTTAGCGCTTTCCTGTATACATAACCGGATCATACTGAAGTTCAGTATTAATACACATTCGTGTATATTTATGTGTATGTTCTAGGCCTTTCGTGTGGCAGTGAACATTATCAGGAGCTTGCAATTTTGCAGGAAAGAGAAGGAAGTCGATACAAATGCTATCCCAGGGAACGCCCTTGCTGTTATGAGCAACATGAAAGGCCTAGAGCTATCATTCAACTCCCTCCGTGGTTGTTTTGTATATATATATATATATATATATATATATATATATATATATATATATATATATATATATATATATATATATATATATATATATATATACTCTTGGTAGGATCGCTGGTTGAGTGGTTAAGGCGACGTGAACGTTGTTTTTTCTCTTATGGCCAGTAAACGAAGTCCGGGTGGAACTTGCATATATTTTTTGACCTTAATACTCAAGGTCAGCGTAACTGAGAGCTCAGTTACCTTGGAATTAAAA